AAGATGAAAAAATTGGAAGCTATAGATTATAGTGAGCCGTTAAATGAAATTGCTCTGCTAAAAATTTCTAGCGTGTCACCATCTAAAATTTTCAATGCATAACAAATAAGCTCCTAAGATGAAAACACTGGTAAAAACTCTCAAATTTGTGGCAGCGTCATTTGGGTAGGTTCGAAATTCTGCAGAATTCATTTTCCATATCTTGAGTGAAACTGTAGTTCTGGCATCAGTAGCATTATTGAATAAAAAGACCAGGGCTGCTTCGTATATTGCTTTTGTGGGAGATAAGCCCTAGCTGTGATGCAGGACCTCCCACCTTGAGCAAAGCTTTCAATTATTGAATGATATCCACCTACGTACGTGTACACAATCATACATTTACTTTCATGTATATATATGGATGTATGTGTTAATCATAGCAATATATTTGAAATGATATCTCAAGAACTGACCAATATTCTCATCGACATTTTTTCGCTTTCAGGCACCCGAACAAAGCCTCCATATATCTGTTTACTAACATCAGTTGCCTTTGAAGATCTGCAAAAACAGCATGCCAATGATTGCATCAGATACGAAAAACTAAGCTAAAAACTACTCAACGATTGAATTTATTAGTAAGCAAATATTATCTTATAAGTTAAGTTAATATTTATCTTTCTATTAATGATTAACTGTTTTATAATCCATATGAGACAGATTGTAAAATAATATTCTCAAATAAGAGTAAAAATTAAAATATTCAAACACTTTAAATGTTATAATTCTTTATAAAATTATTTAAATATTTTTAATAACCTTTTTTATACTATGCTTCATTGAGAATATTTTAAAATTTTCATTATTAATCTCGACATTTTAATTGTTAAAACGTTATAATTTTCTTCCATCCCTTTTTATTTGTTTTGATTCGCCTCCATCCTTTTCATAGTTGTTAGATATTTGACTAAAGAAAGTCTAGAGATTTATACGTACCTTGAGTTATCAGTGCAGAAGAAAGTCCTAAAAGTACCACCGGTTCCTTTGACAATGTAGAAGTAAACTGGAGTTTGCTCCGTTAGGGTTTCTTCTGCAAGAACCAAAATGCCGAATGGTCCTAGAGCGCCACGATCGGCAGCTCCACCACTCTTCTCACAGCTGAATTTCTCGTCAGTCTCTGCTGCTTTGTCTAAAGCCTCTTTATCTATCTCAAACTCTGCTATGATGTCCAATTGATTGGCTAATCCCACATCAAGTGGAATTGTTTCCCCTGCTTTCACCTCCACCTTGCCAAAATCTGTGCTGCTCACCCTTAAACTCTCCACCTCCTCCACCGGCCATTGAAGTAAATTGCT